AAAAAAAAAAAAAAAAAAAAAAAAAAAAAAAAAAAAAAAAAAAAAAAAAAAAAAAAAAACCAGCACACCCAGTGGCAGCAATATGGAATAACAGGGTCAGGTGACATCCAGATTAAGGTAGTTCAACCTCTATCAGTTTGAGCAGTTGTATGAAGTTAGCTTCCTTCCTGGGAAAACCACCAGACTTTTTCAGCATATAGTGGTGTGTGTGTGTGTGTGTGTGTGTGTGTGTGTGTGTGTGTGTGTGTGTGTATGTACAGGTGCACTTGTGGGCTCAGGTATACACATTTGTGTGTGTTGGCTAGAGGGCCACGCTGACTGTTAATCCTCAGGAATAGAATCCACCTCTTTCTGAGAAGAATTTCTCTTTGATTTGGAGCTCACCACTTAGGCTAGATTCTACCCGCCAGGGAGCCCCAGGGGTGAGCCTCCTGTCTCTGCCTCCTCAGCACTAAGATTAGCAGCAAAAGCCACCCCCGTGTGGCATCTGAATGGGTTCTGGAGATCAAACTCGGGTTCTCGCGCTTGGTAAGCAAGCACTTGGCTAACTGGGTCATCTCCCCTAGCACCTGGCCCATGGTGGATTCTTGAGGAAGCAGCAGAGATTAGAGGGTTGGAAGTAGGAAGGGAAGGTGGCCAAAAAGAAAAGACGGACACCAAAAGAGAACAAAGTCACGTGAGCTGAAGAGTGACGGGGCCTCAGGAAGGCTCGGACCCCCTGATACCAAGACAATTGGAGCCCATGTCCAGGAAAGAGCAGATGGAGAAAGTTCATGAAGCCTCCGTGCAGTCCAGAGCTAGATCAGGTACGAAGAGATGAGGACACCCAGGCAGCCACGATGAGCAAAAAGTGACTCCCCAAGCCCGATACTGGGATGAGGGAGGCCAATGCTTAACCCAGCCCCAGCAAAAATAGAGATGCCCATTTTTTTTAGAATGGGAATTTTTTTTCTTAGAAAAATAGAGATCCTGGAGTACAATCCAAATAAAAGTCAGGGATTGAAATAGGTCATCTTTGGCTGATAAGATATAGAAGGTGAAGCTGTTAGCAGTATTGACATTGGTTTCAGCTGCCAAAAAATGGAGAAGGCATTGGCATGGAGGAGCTGCAAGTAATGGCTGAGGCCACAGTAGCCCCAGGGCCTCAGGGAGGGAGCCCCACCTTTCTAGAACTCTACACACTCCATACTTTCCTTTGGCCTCTCTTCAAGACAAACACTGCTGGATTTTAATGATGACCTTTACACTTGGCAGTGAATCTGTCTCTGGACCTACCTCACAAGACTTACCCACTCAGCCTTTCTGTAGCAGGCTTTTTCTTTTGGGCCACAAACCAGCTCCCAAATCATGACATGGAGACTTATTAGTTATAAATTCTTGGCCTTAGCTTATGATCGTTTCTGACTTTTTTCTTTAATTTAAACTAACCTGTTTCTCTTCCTCTGTTTTGCCTCAGGGTTTTTTACCTTTCTTTCTGTATGTCTTACTTTATGGTTGTCTCTGTGTCTGTCTGGCTGGTGGCTGCTTGGCTTCTGACCCCAGGCATGGTCCTTTCTTTCTCTTTGTTCTTTCTTTCCTAAAGCCTGGATTCCTCCTATTTATTCATTTGTCCCCCAGCCCTGCCTATCCTTTTCTGCCTACCTATTGGCTGTTCAGCTTTTTATTAGACTAATCAGGTGCTTTAGGCAGGCAAGGTGAAACAGCAACACATCTTTTCATAATTGAACAAATGCAACATAAACGAATGTAACACACCTTTACACAGTTGAATATTCCTCAGCATAAACAAATGCAACACATTTTTACATAGTTAAATTTCCACACCACCTTTTAGAGTGCAAAGCAACTTTTATTTCCCATTAGAGGCACGCTGGGGTTGCTGATGCAGAGATAAGTCAGCATAGATACATAAAGCTGTGTTCTCCATTTCAGTTGAATTTGGCATCACACACACGTTAGACTTGTACAACGTTGTTGCTTTAAACCTACCTTGCTTCCCATTTGACCCTTCCTAGTAAGGCAAGCTTCCTTCTCAAGTCCCTAAGCTGCTGAGGTCAGATGCAGCTCAGTTCTATATCCTTCCCGCTCCACATTCAGCGGCTTTCCACCTCTAGGTTGCCTTTCCTGAGGGTGATGGTCATCAAAGCGCCCCGCTCATGGGTGGCTTCCTGTTTAGGCTCTGTGCTTGCAATACATCCATCCTCATCCTCCTCATCTGCTGCTTAAACTGAAGCCACATGGCAATGCCTTGCTTCTGTCACAGGGGACCCACTGCTCATACTGTTCTCTGCAGTTTCCTCCATCCAATCATTCACCAAGCCCAGGGCCTCTGAGAAGGTCCCTTTCGCCATGGCTGCCCTCCCACAATGTGAGCGTATCTCCAGGGACCAGGGAATACCACAGGGGAAACCTTGGTTTCCTTTAACATAAACAATGAGTTCCCTTATAAAATGTTTGAAGATGTCAATCATCTCAGGGTTGCTCTGAGATGGGAATTGATGGAGGAAAGTGTGACTAAGTAGCCACACCCCAATCAGGTGGGGGGGGGCGGGGGGGGGTCTCCTCGGCCAGGTTGCCCCCAGCAGTGCGGCTTATGGAGGCAGAGCCCTGTGGCTTCCCTGTCTCTCTGCAGCTCCTGGCCCATGTAACTAGAGTCCTGGGATTGCTTCTGTGGTCTGTAGTTTTCTCTTTCTCTAATAAGAAACCCTGAGAGGGCTTTGAGAACTCCATTCCACTGGGGGAAGAAGTCAGAACTGAGGCCTGAAGAACTCACTTTCTTTCAGCCTATGTCATTGTTTAGCTTTTTTAAGTTATTCCTCTTCACTGAACAAAATCTTAGAGAACACTCTAGATACAGTTTTAGAAAATGACAAGTCACACACACACATACAAACAGCGTGGTGAAATACAAACCAAGCTGTAAAGATGGGGTATCATAACATGGTGTTAACAATAGTGTGAGAGGAAGATGTGAAAAGTGAGCATGCTTTCAGTCAGGGCTCGCTCTGCTGCCTTCCAGACGCCGTGCAGAGGCACCAGCTTCTTCATCCGCACCATCTTCTTCTTCTGCACCAGCTTCTTCATCCGCACCAGCTTCTTCGTCTGCACCAGCTTCTTCATCCATACCAGCTTCTTCATCCGCACCAGCTTCTTCATCCATACCAGCTTCTTCGTCCGCACCAGCTTCTTCATCCTCACCAGCTTCTTCGTCCGCACCAGCTTCTTCATCCACCCCAGCTTCTTTGTCCACACCAGCTTCTTCGTCTGCACCAGCTGGGAACCGTGGTCAGAGAGGCGGATGCCCAGACAAGCAGCTCACAGATTGGCAAGACTCCTTCATGATTTGAATTCTTAGCTGGCTGGTTCCCAGTGATGCCTGCCTCCCTTTCCTTGTTTTTCATTAGCATGAGAACTTCTAAGATTGCTGAGAAATGGCGCCAAATAAGGGAAGAGTAACTTAATCTAAGATAAATTACTTTCCTGGTTTCAGGTATCCCCAAAGAGGCCAGGGAGGGAGGATATATTCTTACACTGGTGGCCCAAAACCATATTGGGGAGATCAGCTCCATCTGGTTCTCAATTTAGCATCATCACATGTTTAAAAGCCATTTTTGTAAACAAGTAAGAGTCGCGTTGAATTATGGCCACTGAATAGCTCTGTGAGATCTGATTTGTCACACTAAAAGGGGAGCACATCCTAGCTTGGTGTTGCTGGTGTAACCACCTTCAGGACAGTGGCTCTCAACCAGGAGCTGCTTTGTTCCTGGAGATCTTTGACCTTTCCTTCACTTTTAAGGACTTACTTTCTTTGTGTTGCCAAGACTCTACACAACGGACTGTTTGGCTTTGGCCTTGAAACTGCTATGCTTACCCAGTGTGGTCCGTTCTGTTGGGTTGTGTTGGAAGCATCTGGGCTTTGATGCTGTAGGGGGGCTAAAAGAGCCCTTAACTGTCAGGGAAGACCACGCTCTAGAACCTTCCAAACGAGTTCCCTCCACCTGGGATACCCAGGGAGGTCACTGTACCTTAGACTCTATCTCTGCAGTGCCTGCTCCAAAAACTTGCAGGTGGTTTGTAAACTAGATAGCTCAGTGTAGAATCACTAGTCTATGCTAGTTACAGAATTTCCTGGTTCTCTTAGTTGACCTAAGGACTTGGGTTCATTTTTTTCAAATGGCCTTAAGTTACTTATTTTCTCCCAGACCAATCTATTTTAGGAAATGAAAAGAGGAAAGAACTAAGATAAGGCAAAAATGTGGCACTATCTTACAAGCCATAGCTCAGAAAAAGAGTGTCCTAGGGTAGTTGCTGAGGCCTGAAGGACTTCACACATTCTCAGACCCAGTGAAGCAGATATGAGGGGTGTCGTGTCCTCAAACCGTACTGTCCTAATTTCACTAACCCTGAGAAGCCAGGAGCAGGGCTGTGCAAATATTTAGGTGTGTCTACCCCGTGGTCGGGCCCTAAACGTGGACACCAAGCTCTCCCGGGCCTGCTCTTGGGGCTGACACATGCTGGTCAAACGAATTGGTTCAGTCTTATGCTCCACGATGTTGAAAGGACAGGCTTTCAGGTGTTCAGACATGGAGGTGACTTCATTAAACTCCCAGCTCTTGATTTTGGAGAAGAGGCTGCTGAACTGCCAGATCTGCCAGGAAAGAGAAGCTCAAAGGTGAACACGGGCAGTGAGCACTGAGCGCTTCCAGGCTGAATGGGTCTGAGCAGTGCGTGAGATGGCTGGCCCTGTTCCTCTGTGGTCAGCTTCCACGGTGCTCAGTGGCTGCCTGGACATTCATTATTTCCTTTCCCTGCGTCTAATGCCTAGCACCTGGCTAATTAATCACCTTCACAGCCAGCCTTATAGTTGTTTGGCGTGCCTGATGCCAATCAACACTTGATACACACCTTCCCTAGCACCCTATGAGCAACAAAAATTATGTCTAGACACAGTTCAAATGGTGATGATTAGCACTCGTGGGGTTCTGCTCTGGAACTTTTGACATCAAAAGCAGATTCTCTTTTTCCTCTGTATTTGGACTAGGAGAAGGCTGGGGTCCGAGGAGCCCCCCGCAGCTCCCAGGGACACTGAGGAAGATCTCCCTTAGAATACAGCCAATATTGTAGAAGCGAGGCTAGGAACAAAAGTCATTTTTTGAGCTGCCAGAGTAAACCTTACCTGAAGCTGTTGCCTTTGTTTTTTTTTTTTTAATTATATCGGTTAATAAGTTTCTTTTATCATTTATGCCCCTTTATGTTTGTTTTCTAAAACTTAAAATTAAAAATAGCCTAACAAAGAAGGGTATTCTTAGAAATAAAGACCTCTATGAGTATGGTGCTCATTGATTTTCCACCTGGGATAGGGCCGCAGAGTCACCAGCTTTAAAGGGCTGAGGGTTAGACAGACAGACAGACGCCCTTTCAGCCTGACTGCTCCACCATCATGTTCGATCATTGTCCCTGGGCAAGAAAAGTGTTCCTGAAATCTTAGAACTGTTATCATTTTTTCTTAAAAAGCCTTTAATATGTGTATCCTTTAGTCTCATATAAGTTATTTCTCCCTTTCTGCAAGGAAATTAGCCTTTCCCACATGATATCTAAAAGTGGCCAGACATATTTGAATTTGGGACAAAATTGAACCAAAAAATAATGAGGTTTTTTTAGTATGTAAATTACATTATTGACATCTGATTTTATAGAGAAAGATATGTTCTGGTCTTAGATGAATGTTTATCACTAATGTGGGTTGGTGGCAATTGGTCTTTAATATGTGAATGTGGGCATAGATAAATAAAAATGGTCTTATAATTATTTTTTTATGAAGACTGTTTAAGGAATAATTAAGGGAAAATATACAGAATACTTTGAACATAATAAAAATAAATGCAAACAACTCTAATTCCTCCAGACCAGTTTGAGAACATCCACGTATTATGGGCAAACACAGCGGTGGTGTGAGTGATCTAAGTAGACATCATCTATTCAGGGTTCATGTTATCAACACATTTGCTATGAGAAAAGATATCACAGACACTTTGACTACAATGAATTAGGAGTTTAACTTCTGGGGAAGTTGTAATTCGGTGAAGATGGACTCACTTGAGAAAAGGAACAAGGTTCTACAGAAGAAAAAGATTCTTTGATTTATATATTGCAGTGTTTCATATTAAACAAGCAATTCAGCCCTGGGAAATAAGCGCTCCAAACACAACTTCAAAATAAAACCTATTTTTAAAAGTCTGTTGGCATGAGACTGAGAGGAATTTGTTTGTCTATTACACCAATCAGAGTCCAAGCAGGGAGCAAGTGGTACCCTCAAATTGGGTGGGTTTTTTTTTTGGTGGGGGGGGGGTATGGTTTGCAAATCTGGGGGCAATATTCAGAGTTAGTAGCCTAAAGTTTCATGGAAAGGGGGAAACTGTTCACTCCACCCAGAACAAGTAGCTGTGTGGATCAAGTCACCTGGTGTAGTCACCTTCAGTGGAGGGACACAGCCACTTCATGGTGTCTTGAAGGTGAGGGGCGGGCATGCTGAGGAGATCGGATCCTTCAGCACTTCCCCCTCCTGCCTCCTTCTCCTGAAACAGTTGCTCTGGTTCAGCCTAACTAGGAGCTGGAGGGGGTGTGGGGGAGCCAGCTGAGGCAAGCTGCAGAGATAAGTCTCTGGATGGAGACTAGAGAGAGCCCGTACAGAATGGGTGAGCACATGAAAGATATTCAAGGGGTCTAAGCGGGCATTGGCATCCACATTATACCGTCAAACATACACTTATAGTCTCTTTCCTGCTGGACTGAACTGCTTCAGTGAGTCTTACTTTCAGCAACTGTCCCAATGCCTGGTACAGCACTTGTCCCCAAGAGAACTTTTAAAAATATTGAATGAATGAACACATGAATGAATGATGAATGAGTGAAAAAAAAAAACCAACCAAACAAGTGTTTACTTGCCTGACTGTGGACTTTCCAGGAGGTGCCTCCGTGAGAATATCTCTTCTTCTTCCACTGCAAGAGGACCATCCCTCTCTCTTGCAACAAAGTGGCACAGATGTTCCTCATCAGCACCGACACCTGGGAGAGCTGGGCTAGGCTGATGCTGTCCAGAAACCCAGCAATGTATTGCAAAACCTCCAGCGGCAGGCTGGTTAGGGAATTCAGGCTTTTTCTACCATGGCCTGAGAGCGGGTCGCTCTTCCACCCCTCACTCAGCTCCGGAGCCACCTCTGGCTTGATGGCAAAGGTCTTCAGCTCCTGGCTATAGATCACTTTTGCTTTTTGTCCAGGGGGCCGGAAGTGGTTTTGGACAAATGTACATCCCAAGTAGGCGAGAGGGCATCGATGCTGGAACCAGCCATTGAGACACGACTGAATGTCCGTGTGGACGTTCTTGAAGTGCAGGGGAAATTCATCTCTCCGGAAGAATTTGTTGCAGGTGAAAGTGAAGGCTGAGCTGCTTTTATTGTGCCTCCGGGTCACGCACTCACTGTGGAGCTCCACGTGCAGCCCCCCAGGCTGGGCAGTGCCTAGGACATCAGCCAACACCGTCTCTGAGGAAAACTGCTCTGGCTCAAAGTTGTACGTTTGGGTGGCAAGGTCCATAAAGAGCCCGTCGATGCTCCTGGATTCAGAGATGACGTGGCCTTTGAGCTCTCTTTCCAAAGCACACTGGAGGGTGGTCTTGATGAGATCGGATTTGGGCAGGTCCTCCACACAGACGCCCAAATCGGAAGTGTCCACGGCCTTGTGCTCACTTGGCCTGCACCTCAACATGGCATCTCCCAGGCGGGCTCGCTTCCCGCAGTAGCTCACAGGAATTTTGAAGGTGTAAACCGTTTTCACTTCCTGAGCCTCGAGGTTGCCGTAAACAAAGTCTCTCTCCTTGGGCGTACAAGCAGGCATCTGCCCGAAGTGGATGAGCATGCGGCCATTGTGTACCAGATACATGTTGTAGTCTTTGGCATCTACGGCTGTTTTCAGTCTTTCCAGAACACCATCCTGCCAGGGGGCAAGTCCTGTCATCTCCATGGCAACAGGAAGATCCTGGGGCTTCCGGCTTTCCTGTGGTTCTCTCCCTCCGGGCGAGTCCTCTGCATCACGCGTGCTACCATCACCGGAACACTGCTCTTTCCCGGTCAAACCCTTGTCTTCTCTCTTCCCCGAGGAACCCGTTAAAACCGAGGCCGAGTGCTCCTTGCTGAACATGCTTTCCCACTCGCCAAACTTGGCCAAGTCCATTCCTTCTTTGGTTTTTGCCAGGGCATCTCGTTCCTCCTGACTGAGTTCCATCACTGGCCCGTTGGCTGCTGGCAGACAACAGTGTGGTCCTGGCCTGGTCTCCACTCCTCCCACCGCGCCTCCAATCTCTTCCCAACTGGTGTCACCATTCATGGCTGGCTCCTCGGCGGCATCTCTGGTTTCTGGGAAAAGGTCTACCATTTTCAAGGACCGGAAGAGAATGTTCTGGTCCTGGAGGGCCAGGGCTGTGTCCAAACACTCCTCGTTGGGGGGCTCTTTCATGATGTTCTCATGAAGGACGGTTTCGGAGTCCACATTGGGCCAGCGGTTCCATTCCATGGAGCAGCAGACCACGCTGGCGGGGCACACCTGCAGATGCTTAGCCAGCTTGTGGCGGGCCATGGAGAGCGGGCAGCCATACTCGGAGTTGAGGCAGGGAACCTGCTCTAGAGGGCAGAGGAGCGCGTGCTCTGCCTCTTTGCACATGTGGAAGGTAGCGCCACAGAGCAGGTGGCAGCTTATCACCCGGCAGGAGACGCTGGGCTCCACTGGAACATGGCAGTGGCGGTTGATGCATCCCTCACAATGCCTGTGCTGCCCAGGTGGAGGCCTGCGCACCCGGCCCTAGACACAGTAGGGACAAAGGCAGAAAAGACAGGTGAGTGCAGCGAGGGGGAACGGAATACACTCCTGAAGTGGGTTTTGATGCACTCACCTCCTGTCTCTTTAAGACTTCTGTAGCAACCTCTGAATGCAGAGATAATTGGGAACACATCAGTCCAGAACAGTCTTTGTAGCAGTTTATGCTGTGTAAGTGGTATGTTTAAAACTGATCCCAAAGACTGGGCTGTGACTCACTACATTTGACAACTGTTATTTTCAAACTATGTATTATGGGTGATTTGTATTGATAATAGTATTGTCTTAGGGTTACTGTTGCTGCTGCGATGAAACATCATGACTAAAAGCAAGTTGTGGAGGAAAAGGTTTATTTAGCTTATACTTCTACATCACTAAAGGAAGTCAGGACAGGAACTCAAGCAGGGTAGGAACCTGGAGAGAGGAGCTGAGGCAGAGACCATGGAGGGGTGCTGCTTACTGGCTTACTCCTCATGGCTTGCTCAGTCTGCTTTGTTATAGAACCCAGGACCACCAGCCCAGGGATAGCCCTACCAACAATGAGCTGGGCCCTCCCCCACCAATCGCTAGTTAAGAAAATGCCCTACAGCTGGAGCTTATGGTGGCATTTTCTCAATTGAAGTTCCCTTTCAGAAAACTCTAGCTTGTGTCAAGTTGACATAAGACTAGCCAACAAAGCTATCAATATAATTTTGAACATTGCTTTTCAGAAACAAGACTGGATTCCTATATTTGTACCTATGTACCTATATTTCTCATCATGCTTATTACTTTTTATGAGATAATCCCTTCTGAAGACTGTAACACGAATTGCTAAATGGTCTTATTAATAAAAAAAAAAAAACAAACCAGGAGCCAGATATTGAGGTGAATGCCGAAAGATCAGAGAAACAAAACAAGCCACAGCCAACTTCACCTCACCAACTCCTCAGCCAATCCTGTTTCCTCAGACTGAAAGCCTCTGAGTCCTCACCCAAAAGTGTCTCTGCTGAACTGCTGCTAAAAAGCTTCTAGTTCCTGGTCCTCATACCTTATATACCTTTCTGCTTCCTGCCATTAGTTCCTGGGATTAAAGGCGTGTGTCCTTCCCAAGCACAGACATGAGATCTCAAGTGCTGGGGCTAAAGGTGTGTGCCACCATGCCTAGCTCTGTTCCCAGTGTGGCCTTGAACTCACAGAGATCCAGATGGATCTCTGCCTCCCAAGTGATAGGATTAAAGGCATGTGTGCCTCCACTGTCTGGCCTCTATGTCTAATCTAGTGGCTGTTTCTGTTCTCTGACCCCCCAGATAAGTTTTGTTAGAGCACAAATAAAATATCACCACAGAAGACAAAGAAAGAAAGATATGAAAAGGGGAGAAGGTAGATGTAGGAGGAGATGGGGGAAGAGGAAATAAGATCAAGATCTAGTGTATGAAATTCTTTAAGAGTTAAAAGTATTATTTAAAAACTTCTGCCTGCTGGGTGGCAGTGGCACACGCCTTTAATCCCAGCACTTGGGAGGCAGAGGCAGGAGGATCTCTGTGAGTTCGAGGCCAGCCTGGTCTACAGAGTGAGATCCAGGACAGGCTCCAAAACTACACAGAGAAACCCTGTCTCAAAATCAAAAAAAAAAAAAAAAAATCCTCTGCCTAAGATTATGAAGATAGGGTGGGGAATTTAGCTCAGTGGTAGAGCACTTGCCTAGCAAGCACAAGGCCCTGGGTTCGATCTTCAGCTCAAAAAAAAGATTATGAAGATATAGATTTACGTAGCTCCAGGAGTCTTTATTTGTTTTATTTTTCAGTTTGATCTACAATATATTGGGATTATATTTTTGTATATAATTTAATTCAAGACCAAAATAATATTTACTCTTTGCAAATAGTGATGGTGTACATAATACTTCTGAGGATGAATGTGCTGTTATTCATCTAACCAACTGTTCCAGAGGACAAGACCAAGTCTGGTTTTCCTCTCTAGCATCTAGTGCTTGACATAAGCCACACTAGGTATTCAGTACTTCCTGAATGAAGGAACTGTCAGCCATTTGGATTATTGTTGGCATTTTTAATATTTTACTTTTTAAAAATTTCATTATCTCACTGACATTACATAATAATTCAGTATATATATATACATACACACACACACACATATCAAACAATGGCTAATGACCACATCACAGAAATTAACATTTCTATCTCATCATTAATTGTTTCTATGTGTTGAGCAATTCATTTTCATTTTGTCACTAAAAATCTTTGCTCACACCTCTTTCTCATCTTTCCCCTTAGTCAGTGTCCACTTGTTGATAACAAATATCACACAGCCACATCTATAACCATTGGCTTGGGCTCTGGGATAACTAGAGTTAGACCTGGATCTCTCAACAGTGACACTCCAACAAAATCCTGATACTTACCATGGCTTCCCAATGTCTGGCTTCTTAACTCTAGGGGAAATATGAAAATATGAATGATTAGTAAGGAAAGTGTTGTAGTTATTGATATGATCAAGGGCCAAAGAGACTTCCCATGGTCCCTCATTAAATTCTGCTTACCACCTTGGAGGGGTTGTCCCATTTTACAGTTAAAGTGGAGACTTGAGAAGCTAACTCATCCAGGGTCACTCATCTGCTAAGTACGGAGTCAGGTTTCCAAGTCAGGCCATGCTGGCCCAGGCTCTTTGCACTGACCCACATGTCCTCTGATGGGGCCTGTTCCAACTATGGAACCCGCGACTTGTGCTTCTTGAAATCTCTCTTTACTTTTGACCTCCAAATGCCCATCCAGCTCCCCCCCCCCCGGGGGGGGGAGCTTCATGTCTACTGAGGGGCCAGCCGGATGTCCAGCTTGACCTGGGGCATACCTATCCTATGCCATTCACCTAGTGCCTTCAGCTGTACTGTGGCTAGGTCAGGGGTCAAATCCCCCAAACTTGGAAGCAGGCTACAGTGGGAACAGTGACAATCAGAAGAGAAGCTGTTCTGCCTTAGGGTGAATTGCAGTTACCCAGCTCTGGTTGCTTGGTTCTGTGAGGGAATGGATCGCCAGATCTTCTGGGTTTTTCAGAAAAGGGAGGAGGCAGATTTCCTTGACTGTGGATCAACAGAGTGGCTAGGAGGCCGACTGCATAGGTTTCTCCCCTAGCTCTACAGGCCAGTAGCTAGGAGGCTTTGGGAACGTTTCTTAGCATCTTTTAAATCCATTCCCCCTCTGTGAGGGAGGCGGCTAGCACTTCCTACACCACTAATGAGCAGGCTGGCACTATTGAGAGGAACGAAAGAGTTAAATACACACGAAATTTAAAGTAAGTATTCTCTATTTCATCATAGTGCAAAATATTTTACTACACGATGTATCAGAAAATCCTCAGAATTCTAAGTGTTGACAACTAATTCAATTGAAAACAAAAACATTCTATTTGGGCAAAGACAAACTGTTCAGGCTAGACCAGCCATGATGGCTAAGTTTGTAACGCGTGGCCTAGAGAGTCAGCAAGGCTGTTCCAGTTTGTGTTCATCTGGGGCACAGCTGGGAAGTTAGTACCCCAAAATCAGAAGGTGCAGAACCTTACATTTTTATTTATTTAGAATTTGGCAATTTGCTGTGGGTGATTCTCTCCCAGTAAAATTTTTTCAAACATATACAAAAGGTGAATGAACATATACAATAAGCAATTCATGACACATCACTCTAACAATTGTGTTATTTTTGTGCCTCTTCCTCTTAATGTTTAGAGCACATGATAACAAGATACTAAAGATGCTAATGATGCTTCATCCCTAAGCACTTCAGCATGAACCTTTCCCTCTAGAATCTATGGTACCATCATCTCATTAAAAAAAAAAAACAACACTAAAAACAGCTACCTAACATCATGAACACACACACACACACACACACACACACACACACACACACACATACACACACACGAGACAGGGTCTCCCTATGTAGCCTTGGCTGTCCTGGAACTCTCTATGTAGATCAGGCTGGCCTTGAACTCACAAAGATCAAAAGTCTCTGCCTCCCCAGTTCTGGGATTAAAAGTATGCACCACCATACCTAGTTTGAAACAGAATTCTTTTCAGTACCAATGTATCGAAGCTGGGCAAGTCTTTTTTATTTAGTCTGCAATAACCCCCGCCCCCCACATCTTCAAGGAATTTTAACTCTGGCTCCCTCTTTATGCTTTTGTTTTTCTGTCTACCTATTCAACAAACATTTGTTGATTGTACTCTGCGTCAGTAATGCCCATGAGTCACGCAAACTGCTTTCAAACTGAGTCCTAGACACTTTCATCAGACTCACCTGTGGCACGTGTGGACCTGGAAATCTGCATTGTTCTATGTGGTAGTCAGCCACATGTGGCTGTTTCAATCTGATCACAATGGAATAAAATAGAGCAATTCCTCCTTCACGCCAATTGTGTTTTAAGTGTTCAGTAGTCACACCTTCAAGTAGCTACTCTGTTGGATGACGGAGAATAGAACATTTCCATTTTCATGGAGAGTTATAATGCTCTGTGCTACTGTAGAATCTGTCGGCTCCTGTGGCTATGTGTGGGATAAATACTGGATTTATACCCTCAATACATGCCCTGGTGTTTTTTTGGGTTTTTTGTTGATTGGTTTTTTGCTAGAGTTATCAGGGAAGAGGAACTTCAATTGAGAAATTGCCTCCATTGGTTGCCTATAGGAAAGTCTACAGAGCATTTTCTTGATGGATGATTGATGTGGGAGGGCCCAACTCACTGAGGATAGTGCCACCCCTGGATAGGTGGTCCTGGGTTGTGTAAGAAAGCAGGCTGAGCAAGCCATGAGGAGCAAGCTAGTAAGCAACATTCCTCCTCCATGGTCTCTGCTTCAGTTCCTGTCTCTAGTTACCTGTCTTGAGTTCCTTCTCTGACTTCTCTTCATGATGCACTGTAAACTATAAACTTTACTTTTTTAAAATTTTATATGCATTGGTGTTTTGCTATGGGTGTCAGATTCCCCTATAACTGGAATTACAGACAGTTGTGAGCCACCATGTGGGTGCTGGGAATTGAACCTGGGTCCTCTGGAAGAGCAGTCAGTGCTCTTAACCACTGAGCCATCTCTCAATCCCCTAAACTACAAACTTAAATAAACACTTTCCTCCACAAGTTGCTTTTGGCCCTGCTGTTTATCACAGCAATAGAAACCAAACTAAGTCAACATACTTCCAATCTGATTATCCCGCACCTTCGTTCTAGACCCCGCCAGGCTCACTGAGTAATCATGAAGGAGGATTCTCCCAGTGTGCTCTGTTCTCCTGCCACTCTGAACCAGGGGACAGGTAAGAAGCTGCAACTCACAGCATCAAATAGGTTCAGGGCCCAGTCATACAAAAGCAATGATACGAGAGGCAGAGAGGAGCTGGACAGGGTCAGAGGGCTGACAGGGTTGGACTGTCTTATGGGCTGAATGTTATGCCCACCAAAGTTTTTAATGCTGCAGCCTAATCACCAATGTGATTATATTTGGAGCTGGAGTCTTTGGGAAGTGATTGGGTCTTGAGAGCAGAGCCTGCATAAATGAAATTAGTGCCCTCATAAAAAGGGCCTGAGAGGAAGGACCCTCATGACTTCTGTCCTCTTAGCACAAAAAAATACAATAGCGGTGAACCAGCAAGCAGGCCTTCAAAATACAACAAATCTGCCATAATCTTGATCTCGGACTTCCAAGTGAGAAATAAATTGATGTTGTTTTATAAGTTATGCAGCCCCTGGTGTTTTATTATAGTAACCAAAATGAACTATAATAGACTGAGACAGAACAAAGTCAGTCCAAAGAATACATCTTTTGTATGTAATGGTCCAGCTAACTGATCGCTTAAGACCAGCTTAATGGGCAGGTTGCCGCATGCCATATTTGAGATCATTCCTAAAGGGAAAAGTCGATGGTGGACTTTGTGTGGAAATTCTTAAATATTAGACTAAGAGATCTGGAACCATTTGGTACACAATAAGGCGGCATTTTTCATTGTGATTTGGGAGCTAAGTGGGATGAAGGGAGAGTCTCTAGAGCTGAGAACTGATGTAGAGAAGGTGATGTTTCACAGGCGAGGCTGAAGACAGCAGAAACGGAAAGATGAATCCGATGGAAGGTATTGCAAAGGGAGACTCCGGGTTATTTCTGACTGGAGATGAGGAAATGAGCTAAAGTTGATGCCAAGGTTTTAATCCAAGAGAAAAGAATATTGGCCACAAGTTCAGAGAAAAACAGAAGTCTATGAAGAAACTACTTGAGGAGGCAAGATAAGTCCAACAAGTTTGATGTAAATTGTTCAAGGTGATGACAATCCTGTGACAAGAAGAGGAACTTGGAGGCAGAGATGATGGTGTGGGAATTACCCAGGTGAGAGAGAAAGCTCTAAGTGGGAAATGAAAACACAGAATAGACATCTGAGACATGAAATATTAATACCCAGCCATGTGTGACCACTTTGCAGACATTAGGAAAAAGGGCAGCCAGAGGAGAGACTAAATGTGCACATCAGGACTATGCTGTCACAGATATAAAGGAAAAGGTGAGTAATGCCACCTACACTGCCACACACACACACACACACACACACACACACACACACACACACACACCAGCTGTGGGACCCTTGCCCGTTTGAAACTGGTGCTTGATGAGAGGGGAGAAGCAGATACTTTGATGCTGACAGGATTGTGGCCTCTCAGCAGGAATTGGCACCATCTGCTTCCTGTTCAGAATGGCAGCTAATCAGTAAGGATGGAGTGTGGAGCCCTCTGGATCCCTTCTGGCTTTCAGGTGGAAAAAAAGACTGATCACAAAGGGAGGGAGGGCGTGTGAAAAAACGACCAACACCAGGAATGTCCGGCATATTTAGTACGTGTTGGCAATGTAATTAGTCACAATGCTAAGCTCAATTTCTGGGAAGAGAAACAAAGGGTTTGGCTAGTTTACTGGACTCCAGGCATGAGAACTCTGCTCCCCAGCAAGGATGCACTTCACCAGAGGCATTGTGATTGGCTCTAAGCCCAATTTCCCCTTAAGTGTTTTAGAGTTCCTAGGAACCATGAGTGAAGGTGAGGATATACTATAGCTTGTTGTTCTCTGTTACGGTGATGTTGTTTAAAAATATCTGAGAGAAAACAGTGCATGCTGTTAACAAAGCTGTTCTCCCCCTTCCTTTTTAAATGTCACTATTTAAAGACCTCATTCCCAACTCTAGAGTGTCACCAGCTGAGTGACCTTGAGACAGGACTAGTGTTGAGCAAAGATCACCTTGGAGAAGTTTGGCAGGAAAAGAAAGAAGAAAGATAGAAAAAGAAAAAGAAAGAAAGAAAGATATAGTCCAAGACATAAAAAAAAAAAATCACATCTCAACCTTCCATTGTATACTTGGGAGAAATTCTTTTTACCTGGATAAGGCTCAATCCAGAACTCTCGAGAGTCTAAATTATTGCCTGAGATTCTCCTAGTGTAGTATCGAAAGCCAGACATCCCAGGAAACCCCTAAGGGGCAGGCAGATTTGCACAGTGAATTGATTACCTTGAATTTCAGACAGTGAGTCTTGCCCCAAATGAATCAAATTGGATGTAACATCAGTGATGTAAAGAAAGCTACTCTTATCCTCTGATTCAGAGTGGCTAGATGCTTTTCTTTGGAGTTTATCTGACTTACCTAGACTGAAGATGTATCTCTGTTGACTATAATGGACAAAGAGAAGTGTCTTAGTTAGGGTTTCTATTGCTGTGAGGAAACACCATGACCAAAAGCAAGTTGAGGAAGGAAAGGGTTTATTTGGTTTACACTTCAGCATTGCCGTTCATCATCGAAGGAAGTCAGGGCAGGAACTCAAAAAGAACAGAAACTTGGAGGCAGGAGCCATGGAGGAATGCTGCTTACTGGCTTGCTCATCATGCATGGCTTGCTCAGCCCGTTTTCTTATAGAACCCCCCACAGTGACAGTACCCACAATGGGCTCGGTCCCCTCACATTAATAATTTTAAAAATGCCCTATAGCTAGATCTTATAGAGGCATTTTCTCAACTGAGGCCCCCTCCTCTCTCGATGACTCTAGCTTGTGTCAAGTTGTGGTGAAATTAGCTAGCCTAAGAAGGAAGGTTTTAGTGCCTATATTAACATTTATTTAGTCCTCACAAAAACCGTGTGAGGTGGGGGTTGCCATCTTCAGTTTACAGACAAGGACACTGAGGCACAAGGAGATCTCCATTTGTCAGGCTTCAAATCCAACACTCTATTGTGTTCCTAAGGGACATGTATGGTTCATCTCCATCATCTGGAGAAAACTCAAGGCCATGGCTAGAGTGGGCACAGTACGGTGTTCACATGTGTAGCCCTTCCAGAGTGGAAAGGAGCTAGATGATCCTTATCAGGAAACTGCTGTCCTATTATAAATTGTTTCTGTCTTTTAAGCCACAGCTATCTAAACCCACCACTGCCAGCAGCAATTAGGCTGCAAGGGCCATAGCCAGAAGGAATTCTGTTTCCTCAGGCTCCGACTCTTGCAAAGCTATGAAAGGAACTTAACTAAACCTCTGTCCCTCTAAAGAACTCAACATTCGTAGGGTAAGGTGGAATTCTGCTCTCCAGAGGCCGAATAGCAAGGAGCTCACCTCCTCTCCTAAAAGCCCCCATGTTTCGCCTCTCCCCGCCTCTCCCCTCCTTATAAACCCTTCTCCACCCGGCTCCTCCCTACCACTTCCTGTCAGCTAGTTGCTGACTCAGCCTCCTGACCACAGGTGAATTTTACTTAATCAAACACATCTTTGCATCATTAAACAAATATTCTAGAGCAAAAACAAAAGTAACTTGAAATAATATTCTGCAGCAGGAAACGCCTGTCTCCATGCAGATGTTTTTGTGGGCCTTTCAATCAGATCCGACATTGTGCCCCCTTTGAGCAGAATAAACAAGAGAACAGTCTCCGATTGGTGGTGCTGTGCTTCAGAGATACAAACGTGAAAGAGAAAGCTTCAGGGTTAAAATGCTACACTACAGTATTGGTTCTGAAACTTGAAGTGAAATACCCACCGTATCAGTTACATGTTATAGAACTTCTTCACTGTGTGCAACATGCTTTCATCAAAATATAGGTTTAAATTTCCCCTCTCCAAAAGAGACAATTAACTAACATGACTTAGCCTTTATTAGCCCAACAATACACTCCATTTTATTGGCTCTATCAGATGTAGTCAGAGTAAAGTTGATGGCAGCAGATATGTGGTAAAGGAGTGAATATCTCTATGAAGAAATGGAGCATTTAGAACCTGGCAGGAGCTGGGCATGGTGGAGCACACCTTTAATCTCAGCATTCAGTGGGCAGTGGCAAGAGGATCTCTGTGAATTTGTGGCCAGCCTGGTCTACATAATGAGTTCTAGGACAAAGAAAGACCCTGTCTAAGTCCTCATCCAGAAGGGATCTCAGCTGAACTGTGACGGATCTCTG